TAGTAGCAAAAGCTGCTTTCAGTAAATTTTCTTGAGGGTACCTACTTGGAGATTTTTGGTTAGTGGTAAATAATAGGACTCCCCTCAAATTTTAAAACAAGGACAGATTTATTATGAGGTAATACTCAAATTTATTACAATTTGAACTCAAAAAGAATTTATAACTATGGATATTTTAACAAGATAGGGCAACAGTATTTTTGATCTGCTCATTTATGTACACAAGCAAGGAAAAATACTCCTGCACACTAGAGGAACGGACTCCAAATTTAGTAAGCATCATCTTTCTCCTGATTTTTCCCCCCAGTAGGGTGCGGAAAGAAGCCAGGCCCTGTCACTGCTCCACAATGCCCAGAAGGCCTGGACCTTCTCCCGATGTTCTGTTTAATGACCCACAAAGTTGCCTAACAACTAAAATTGGAAGAGCTGGGATTGTGGTTGCTGATGATGTGGCCACATAGTGTCTTGCTTAAAGTTTGCTTCATTCAACTAAAATTTTGGGCCCAACTATGGTCATAAGTGGAAGACTACTTATATAGCTTAGTGATAGAATATCTGCATTTCTTGCAGATTGTTTCAGTTCCAGTTCTTTGCATCTTTAGCTAGGAGGGGAAATCTTCAATTTTAAACTAAGGAACATTATTATTAATAAGCACGCACAGTATTAAACTGGATAAGCCAATGATATAAGCAAGATAGTTTCCTATGTTTCAACCATGAATTCTCTATTTTTTTAAAAAAAAACCATATAAGCATATACAGTAGGTTATTTGACATTCTTATATATGTCCTGAAATTATGTTTATTAAAGTCATTTCTAGTTAGTAAACTCATCCATCTCCTTTTACATTCTAAATGTTAAAGGACAATTTGTTTACATAGATAAGAAAACATTTTGTATTTGAAATTTGCCCCAATTCTGTTCCCAATAATTTTACAAGCAAAGTTTATGTGGATGAAACAGAAACCGTCCTTATCATTTCTTCCCTGGATGCAATTTTAAAGACATTGGGTGTAGGTTGGAAACTTCTGTTTGTACATCTATGATTAACACAATATTGGTTGTAGCTATAATGTTCAACTTCTGATGGCAAGAAAAAATGTCAGGATGATTGCCCCTTTCTTAGAATGCCCTGCCTTTCTCTAAGTGGCCTATGCCCCTCCTGAGCAACCACATTCTGAAAACCACTGATTTAATTAGCTTAGCTACAGATTTCATTTTCATGAAAATTACTGTGTATAGCAGTATAAACATTTAATTTTGTTTTGAAACATAGGAGCTTTTAAGCATAATCCGCAATTTAATTATAATTCTGAAGGAACTTCTGATGATACACAAGTCAAAAGTGTACAAGCAGAAGTTTAATTTCTCTGAAGTAGAAGAAAAGAGGCTATGAAGAAATACAAACTCATGATATGGCAGGGACAACTATTGATGTGTTGGGAGATGCCTGAGCTGGAACCAATCTTCGGACAGCATTCTAAGCAATATACAGTTGTTTAAAAAAGAAAAATTATCAAAATATAAAATGCTTGCATAATAGAAAATATGTATAATGTACAAAAAAATAGAAAAAAGGAGAGAAGAGAACAGTGGATCAGTGGATTTCATTTATATCTTTAATTTATGATCAGTTTGTTCATGCATAATATTAAATCATAATATAGTTTGTTTAATTTTAGGTTAATACTAAGACACCCATTAGGTCTTAGATTTCATGCAAACCAGACTTCTGGGCGTGTTTAGAAATTATTGTTTAAAAACAGTCATTGGCAACCTCATTTAACTTTGTTTTATGCTATTTGGGTTCTAGCAGGTTCCAAATCAGTTTTTGAAAAGCAAACAAAATGTAGAGCAAACCTTTGGACAATTGTTCATAAATCAGACAAAATAATGTTTTGTCATTGTTCCCAATTTTTTCAGTTCATATTGTCCTTAATGTCACAAAGATATGACAATACTATTGGTCATTGCAAAAGCCAGTTTTCCAAATGAACATCTCACAAATTTAAACTATCCCATGATGCTCTTGTGAGGTTGCTGCAGTACTCCAGGGTATGTGATATACAGTTTGGGTAATATGATCACACTCCATGTATGGTATCACAGACATTATTTGAATTTTTAAAAAAGAAGTTTGATGTTATTATTAATACTGCTACATCTCTCTATTCAGGTTTTGCAACACTAGTGAATGCAGCAAAAGAATAAGTAAAATATCAAATGTTTCAGAGAACTTGTATTAAAAAAACATACCCATCAGTCATTTTGGTAGATAAAATTTAAATGGCTGCTGGTAGAGTAAAAGAAATACATAACATTATTGTACAAGCCTGAAATACAAAATGAGTAGTCATAGCTATGGATCAGAAGGTGGAGGATGGAATCCAAAATATGTAATGGTATGTATTACCTGTAACAGGAGTTAAATAATTCTGCTTTCAGGGTTGAAAGGAACTTTTTATTTGCCCCTAAATGCTAAGTGTAATGTGGTATATGTTATACTACAGTACTAGAGATTCTGAGTTAGTCTACAGCTGCATCTTTGACTGACTTTGTACTTCACCAATGAAGTATCTGGAGTCATTTTTTGAATTCCTTTGTCCCTGATTCCATTTTTTTCCTGTTAATTTTCTGTCAGATGAATAAGTAAATATCAATGTTCCTTTGGTTAAGATAATCTTTATTGTCATTTTTTACTGTGAGCACATTGGCCCACATTAAAAATGAAATTTTGTTGCCTGCTCTCAAAAGAATATATCCACCCATACACATGTATAACACACATACACACATGCTATATACAACTTTCATATTTGTATATGATATTGGGATTGGTTTTAATAATAAACCAAATTACGGATTTTGAAAATGATTCAAGCTGTTTGTATTTACATATATGTAAAATTTAGCAAAAATAAATTCTTTTTCTATTTAAATGAAAGAAAACATATGATGATGATAATGACTGGCTGACTGATTGACTGACTGACTGACTGATTGACTGACTGTGTCATCAAGTCAATCCCAACTCCTAGCGAGCACCAAGATAGATTTTCTCCATGACAATCACTTCATAACTTGTCTTTGGGGTTACTATTCAATCTATCAATCACTATTATTAAATTATACTAATAAACCATATCATATAATATATGATAGCATCTGTATAATAAAATCAGTATAATATATAGTATGGTATATTAGTATAATATAATAATATTGGTTTATTGTGTGTTATAAAAATAGCATTGATTCTTAGCAACCACATAGATTTTCTCTGTGACAATCTGACCATAAGCTGGTCCTTCAGATCTTTCAGTAGCGCACCCACTACTACAATAACTGAGTCCCTCTACATTGCTGCCTAGTTGTTGTCTTGTTCTCTTTCCTTCCACCATTCCCAGTATGTATTAGAACCTCCTCTGTAGAGTTAGCTCTCTACATAACGTGTCTGAGCTAGGACAATTTGAGCTTGGTTATTTGTATCTCAAGTGAGAATGCTGGCTTGATATGTTTGGTGTTCCATTCCTTTATTTTCTTGCCTGTCCATGGTGCGCTCTGTAGTCCTCTCCAACACTAAAAGCATTATCCTGCTTTTTCAAAGTCCAGCTTTTACTTCCATAGAGTATCACCCTCAATACCATTGCTTGCATTGTTCTTATCGGGATCTGATATTTTCCAAGGTTTTCATGGCTAATCTGTCAATGTAGTCTAGCAATATAATAATATAATATGGCCTATAATCTATTTCAGAGGTATTAAACTAATGGCATCACAGTGGCATCACGTGACATATCAGGACTTTTTCTCCCTTTATTAAACTGGTCATGGGTGTGGCCAGCATGTGATGCATCCAGCCCGCAGGCCAAGAGTTTGACAATCCTGATCTATTTTATAATTCTTATCAGATTATGTTTTGTTTTTAAATTAAGAGAATGAGTCAGAGGGATCATGTTTAAGCATGGAGAACTCTGTAATCTAAAAACCAAATCAAATAATTGATTCATCAAGGCAACAACTAAAATCTTAGTAAACTTTCCCACCCCTCCTGGTTGAAGATAGCAGAGAATGGAGCCGAGATGATATGGCAACATTCTTTACAAGGTTTAATAGTTGGATTATGACTAGCAAAATGTACTGCAAATCAATCCTGAGACATGGAATCTTATTAAATATATTGGAATACTCACTCTTAGATCAGTCTACCTCATAAGAATATTGGTGTCTGGAAAAAATTGAGAAGTGCTATTTACTCAGCCATGAAATGCAGGAAGAAATATAGAATATAAAACCATATATATAGGAAGAAGAAGTTGTGTTGGAAATGTTCAGCACCTTGAATTATTTGTAAAAATAATAAAGGCAGAAAACAAACAAACAAATCTGAGCTACATATTTTTTCCAAAAGAATATTCTCTAGGATATTAATTACATTGAAAAGATGTGTTATTCTACAATTGTACATAACTGCTCTTTTACTCTATCATTTTTACAGTACGTAATGGTGATCAAAACTGAAAATTTTTCCCAGACTTTCAAGGGTCACTTAGACCAGTATTGGGCAACAATTACTTCCTCCATCATATTGTCACAAACTGTCATGGTAAAGTGTTATAGGAATGCAGTTCATGCAGCACTGTAAAATTATTTCTTCTTGTCCAGTTGGAGTTTTTTTAACAGCTGATTTGACTTTGGAAAACAGAATTTTCTACATAAAAATATCATGACATGCCTGCTAGCAGTAATTTGACATCTGCCAAATTCATGGCAATAACATTTAATTTATGTCTACTGTACGCACCTAAAATATATAGAATAATTCTTGCTAGCAGTATATTTCTATTAAGATTCCTGGCGTCAAGCAAATTATTTCTAGCCAGTTTTGAAAAGACCAAAGATTACCAACCTTTACAGCCAGGCCTTATAATCTTTCATATGGTCAAGCTTATGATTGCTATCAAAATCCTTTATTTCCCCTTTCTGCGTATGTTTTTAGGATGCAAATGAAGACCCTGGAGAAGATGTTGCTCTTCTTTCAGTCAGTTTTGAGGATACCGAAGCTACTCAGGTTTTTCCCAAATTGTACCTTTCTCCTCGAATTGAACAGTGAGTGCTATATCTCTTATATAGTAATCTTGATTTCACAATATTTTATTATATTTCTCATTGTTTATAAAAAATGTTTGAATAGTATAAAACCTTTAATGGAAAAAAGTCAATATGATGATTTTTGTAATTGACAATGCCAGTCAAGCCATTCAGCTTCTTATTTTAACGTCTTTTAAAGTTGAACCCTTAGCTGTAATCGGCCTGTATTTTTCTTAAATGATATTCATTGAATGTTCCTCTTCATTCCATTGATTCAAAGAAATTTAGCTCTATGTTGGGCTTCAAGTGTTCATAGCTTAATTTGTGGCTCTTTCAAAATGGAAAAATGTGTACGACACTTACCTATTCTATCTTTTCGTCTAGATCAAGAGTGTCAAACTCTATTTCATTGAGGGCCACATTGGGTTGTGTTTGCCCTCAGGGGCCAGGGTGAGCATGGCCAGCATGACATCACTGGTGTTGGGGGCACCTGTGTCCTGAGTGCTCTGCAGGGGAAAATGGGCTTCTGCACCCCATTTTCAGCTGCGATAGCCCCCTGCAGCCCTCTGCCAGGAAAAACAGAGCTCATGTCACGACCAAAAATGGAGCCTGGGAAGGCTGCATTAGCGCCTCTCCCCCAGCTCCATTTTTGCTGGCAGAGGTACTGCGGGAAGGACCTTCACTGTTTCCAAGGGTGGCTCTGTGGTCCAGATCCAAGCACCCTGCAGGATGGATCTGGCCCATGGGACTTAAGTTTGACACCCTTGGTCTAGATGGTCATTGGTCATAATCTAAACAGTCATCCTAATAACTAAATAATAAGTAAATTATGCAGCAGTGGCTACTGCGTTGTAAGTAAGCCACTCCTCAATATATATGAATTACAGAAGTGACATACATGGTACATCTTATTCCCCCAACCAGGCAATGTCTGCGTTAGACTTTGGAATTGCTTTCTATATGCAGTAGAAATATAATATGTTCTGTTGTTGAAACATGACTTTTCCTTATAGCTAGTGATGTTTCTTACTTGGAAACGAAAGATAATTTGCACAAGTCTTTGGATATTCACAAGTATCTTACAAATGCAACCACTTTTTCTTATTGATCTCTTCATTAATTTCCGCATAAAATCATAGAATGAAAAAATAATAATTCTGTGATGATATGCTGTGTGGTTTATATTTCCTGGCTGGAGTCCAGTGTGAGGATTGGGATTTGTCACTGTTCATGCACAGTGGTAATAGTAAGCATCATAAACATACTTTATGTCAGAACAAGATAGATGGCAAATAAATGAATAAAATAAATAAATTAGGCCTGATGAAAAATATGCAAAATACTCAATTATTTCATTTTTTGTTTTCTGTATTTTTGCCATTGCATCAAGTACTTGCATGGCCAGGGAAAATATCTGTATGTGATATAAATGAATGTGCTGGGATAGAATAGCTCAGATATGCTTCAGCGAGTGCAGTGTTGCAAGAATATTATATCCTTTCTACGGGCAGTGTTGTTTGATACTCTCTGTGGAAGAATGACTCACTAAGATATAGGTTAGGCCAGGAGTGTTAAACTTGATTTCATTGAGTGGCACATCAAGGTTGTATTCAACTTCTGGGTGCTGGGTGGGCGTGTCCAGGGTTGGCATGGCCCCATTTCCAGTCAGGATGGCCTTCTTTAGCCCTCTGCCAGCAAAAATGGAGCTCGGGGTGCCGTCCGTTTTCGCTGGCAGAGGCACCATGGCCAGTTCTTTGCTGTTTCCAGGGTACCCCAGCAGTCCAGATCGCACCCCGTAGGCTATATCTAAAATAAATTGGCTTTGATGTCCAACATAACTTTGTCCCTTAAAAGTAAGTCTGATGCAGAATGAAACTGGAATCCATTCCAGACTACAATTTAAGACATGGATTTGTTCTATATCCAATATTTAGGGTTTTTTATGTGTAAAGTTAGTATTTTAATTTTACAGAATATTTAGAACAGGTTTTTAGTAACATGCATTGACTTCAACATGGTTTTATCAACTGATGTATGCTATGTTGACCAGAATTCCCACTATTCATTCTGAATTTAAAGTTTCACTATGAGTTTTAAGTCTGCTAAAACAATATAACACATTTATTTATTTATAAGTAATGAATGTTTTGCTGGAAAATTACGTATATCCTCCCTGACATCTCTAAATCCCTAATTTATCATTTGTGTTTTATTTTTTCTTCTTTTTTATTTTCTTAATATATCTTTTTCAATGTTAATGAAAATAAATAATAACGATAATTTAAATGTTAAATAGCATTCTTTTAAAAATTGTTTATTGAAATAAAAATACGCTTTTTCAGATTTTGTATATGAGAACATTTGCTGAGCTGAAGTCAGGAAACTGCACTTTTGCAAACCTATTAATCTTCTAGGAGACTAGAAAAATTCTTATTTTTTGCTAATAGGATATTTATCCAGGAATGTCACAGTATTTATTTTAGTTATAGTACAATCAAAATACAGTTAATAAATTTAATCTGCTCTTAAAATGGTAGTGCTAGGAAGAAAAATAGTTCAACTTCCTTTTTTTCCATTTTTGGAATTCATTTTGTTCACTTTCCAATCTCCCCTTTTCTGCCTCACTCTTGAACTCTCTGTTTTAGAATTCCAGGCTTATATGTACTTTATCTTAGAGATAAACATTAATGGAAAGGACTTCCCCCAAAAGAGTTACAAGTTGTGAACCTGGAAGAAACACTTGCAGGTCTCTGAACTTTCTTGTACTGTATCCTTAAATGGATAAGATATTAAGGTGGGGATTTGCTTGCTCAATTATCTCGTCTAAAAATGCAGAATAATGGAAAATGATAGAACTTGCCTCAGGAATTTGATAATAAACAACTCTAAGTAACTTTCCTTAAATTAAATATTTAATGTGTATATAATAGGCTTCACCCTCCTCTCACCCAGAAGAAATCACACAATGGGTGATTTGGGCTTAAATCCATCCTTAGCCATGGAAACTCATTGGTGGCTTCAAGCCCATCTCAGAGGGCAATTATAAGGATAAAAGGACGGGAGATATCTGTTAATACCCTGAGCTTCTAGAAAAAAAGACAGAATTTAAATCTAATGCACAAGAATTATTAAGGTTTAGACTCAGAGGATATGACATATTGTGTCACTCACTTTTTGGACAAATATTTTCTTGTTTTTCAGAACATAGCATGCACAATATAAGATATTGATTAGTGGCCTAATTTTATTTATTTATTAAATTCAGATAGCCGCTCATCTTACATGTGTTATTCTGGGAGTATACAAAAGTAAAACAAACAAAAAAAACCAATAAAGCAAAATAAAACATAACAGAAAAAATCATTAAAAACCGTTTAAAAAACATCTGCAGGATAGCACACTCAATTTTCCTAGAAATATAGTCACTTGGCAGGCTCCATACACCATAGTTTCTAAAACCATATTATTTAGGATGGATATTTATTTCCTATTATCTGAGGTAATGCCATTTGTAGTCTACACACCAAGCTTGTTGAAGGGTAGTTTGGACAATTACCAGTCTAAATAAAGGTGCAAATTGACAAACATGTTTATCAGGTTTAATCTTCAAAACAAATACATTATTTTTAAAATTATTAATTTTGTCCTTTGAGACTTCTTACAACATTCAGCTTTATGATAAATTTACCATTTTTAAAAAAAAAAACCTTTTACTGTTGAATTGACGTCTGTTTGAAGTTATCATTTGTGATCATTTCATATTCCAGCAAAAACATCTACTTTCTTGTAATTTTGAGAGAACCATAAAATTCCTGCAGAAACCTAGAGGGTTCATTTAAGTGGCCACAGGGTATGGCATGTTTGTTAAAAGCTATAACTTTCAAAGAAGGTTGTAGGAACTGTGGAACTCAATTGTTAACTATTTCTTATAGCTACGTCTATAAAAAAGAGTTACACTTAATCTGTCTTAAAGTGGTAGCAAAAAAAAAAAAAAAAAGACCACTACGTAGTGTTGGAGGAGAAAATGTAGTCAATATGTCATTCACAATAATGTGAATACCTCGTTTTCATAACAATAGAAAACTGATAACATTATTTTAAAACTCCACCTTTTTTTATTTAGTAACAGCTTATAAATATACTTGGAATAGTTTCCCTTACCCG